GAGCGCATTGCGGCCAGGCCCTGGGAGGGCTGCTTGGCCGGGGCCGGCCGCGTCTCGCGCACTGACTGGCCACTTTGGTGGGGCTGGGGTCTTCGCAGGCAGCCAGTGTCGACATGCTGCTGGAGGAGGTCCGTGCCGGCGACCGGCTGAGTGGGGCCGCGGCCCGAGGCGACGTGCAGGAGGTGCGCCGCCTTCTGCACCGCGAGTTGATGCACCCTGACGCCCTGAACCGCTTCGGCAAGACGGCGCTGCAGGTGAGGCCGGGCCGGCCCGTGGCGTGATGGAGGTTGGGGCGAGGACGCCGAGCCCAGATCCCTGCCCATTGTCGTCCCTTCGCCCTGGAGGGGACCCACTGGGGGATTGTCTTCCTTCACTGGGCTGGCGCTGCTCCCTGAGTTCCCCTTTCGTGGGTGGGTAGGGTTAGGTTGCGGGAGGGGGTTGGGCTCTCCATCTTCTCTGGAACCTTGTTCCCTGGCTGAGGGGGATTCACTTTTCCTGAGGAGGTCTTTATTCCATAGATGGCAGTTCAACTTCTTTGGGTGACAGTTTCATAGGGACGGCCTCAGTTTCCTGGGACTCTCCGATTTATGCGAGGAGGTTTCAGGTTTCCAGGGCGTCCCGTTTTCTGGGGGTTTCTTGTGAGAGGTATTCAGTTACTTGAACCATCTCCATTCCTAGGAGGTTCTTATCTGTTTTTTTTGGGAGGTGTACCCACTCCTGGGGGGGTTGCAGATTCCCTCAATAGGGGAATGGCTTCACATTGTGCCTCTATTCTCTGTCGGACGATTTAAGGGGGATCCCATTTCTTGAGGTAATCTGGAGAGCATCCACATTATATTGCAGGGAGTATTTCCTGGAGAAGGCGTTTCAAATTAACTAGTCATCCCCTTTCCCAGAGAGGGCTCTCAAATCCTTTGGGGACTATTTTTGGAAGAGGTTTCATATTTCCTGATACTGTCCTATTTCCGGGATGGGGTGATGGTGGGGGGTCTCTGGTTCCTTGGGGAGAAGTTTAGGTTTCTTAAAAGTTGCCATAGGGGTTATTCCCTGGAGGGTTCCCATCTTATCCTTAGGGCAGTGCTGAGCCTCTTGGGGTCCTCTTCCCAGGAGACCTTGTCCTCTGGGGTTCCTAGGGGTTGTATTCCCTAGGGTTTTCCTGTTCCCTAAGGACTCCTTTTCTAGAAATGGATCTTACCTCTTCCTGGAAGATCCTTCTCTCCCTTGGAACCTCTTTTCTGGGCCCCCTTCCTTGGGGAACCCCTCACCTTCTGCCCCCACACAGGTCATGATGTTTGGTAGCCCCACCATTGCCTTGGAGCTGCTGAAGCAAGGTGCCAGCCCCAACGTCCAGGACAACTCCGGCACCACTCCGGCCCACGACGCAGCTCGCACTGGATTCCTGGACACCCTGAAGATCCTGGTGGAGCATGGCGCCGATGTCAACGCACCTGATGGTACCGGTGCACTCCCCATCCATCTAGCCGTGCGGGAGGGCCACACTGCGGTGGTCAGCTTCCTGGCTGCTGAGTCTGATCTCCATCACCGGGATGCCAGGGGGCTCACACCTTTGGAGCTGGCGCAGCAGAGAGGGGCCCGAGACCTCATGGACATCCTGCAGGGCCACATGGTGGCCCCACTGTGACCAGGATTTCACTGGGCACATCTCTGAAGAGGAGGGAAGAAACACTTTCTCCCTTCACTACTACTGCCCAGTGCTGTGGGGGTGGGGCGCCAGTTTGTGGCTTGTTGGTGTTGATTTCTGGGGTGTGTGTGTTTGGGGGGCGTTTCTCATTTGTTTTTCTCACCCCTTTTGGTGTGTTGGACAGAGAGGGACTCCTGCATGCAACAGCCACCTAAACGGTTCAGTTTCCTCTGTGCCCCAGGCTGCTGGAGCTGTGGACCAGGCCCTGGGCAGAGCGTTAAAGCCCCAGCCATGGAGTGAGGTCATGACCCTCAAGTCTCCTGGCACCTGGTGACCTCGGCCATCTGCGCCCAGAGACCTGAAGGGGGCGCACTGCTTCGGGCATGGGGTGGGGGCAGTGTTCCAAAAACATAAAAGGGTGGCATGAATTCATTTATATTTTGTTGAAAGCTTGTTTTCCAGTTTCTTGTACAGTGTTGAAAAAAATAGATTCTATTTATTAAGCTTTATCAAAAAACTTGTGTGTGATAAGTTAAATGTTTTTATTCATTAAATTAAGACTTAAGCATGACCACGGTTCGGGTGGCTTCAGATTTCTGAGTCTGGGATGGGGATGTTTGTGGAGGTGGCCATGGGGAGTTGCGGAGCGCTGATATGGTGGGGGAGGGAGAAAACAGTAATTCCCAGGGCGGCAGGGGTGGGTGAGCTGGGTGGGGCAGCGGTTTGCGCTGTCGGAACGGAAGAGAGGCAGGAAACCGCCGAGTGGAGAAAGGGCCCCCAGATGTCAGCTGGATGCCCGGAGCTGCGGCGGTGGGAGGAATGGGCGGTGGCCGCGGCCTTCCCCGCAGGGGCGTGACCCGTAGGTGGCGACTTCGTCACCGGGCGGACGGGATCCCGGAAGGCCGGGGGCGGGATCAGGCGGGCTCTAGCCCTTAAAACCTAGGGTGGGCAGAACGCGGCTCCACCCCTTTCCGGGTGTCCGCCTCGCGCGTGCGCAGAGTGCTGTAGGGCCGAAGAGCCGCCATGCCGGAACCGCGCGGGCAGTCGCAGCTGCGGGTGAACGCGGCATTTGCCGCGAGGTACAGCCGCTACCGGGAACGTGAGGAGCTGCAGCGCTGTGAGTGCGAGGCGCGTGCGCGCGGGCTACTGGCGCGTGCAGGGCCTTCGGGCACCGTGTGAATGTACGTGGGGAGGTTGATTTGGTCCATCGGGACTGACCTGCCGTGATCCGGCCTGTGTTCCTCAGTGAAGGATCGCTACGGGGACCGAGACAGTGGCAGCGATTCCAGCTCCGAGTCCGACTCCAGCGACGAACGCGTAGTGAGTCTCCTCGAGCCCATCACAGGCGTGCGGAAAGCGTCCAACCCCTACCTCATCCGGATCTGTTCACTATGGTTGTGTTGTTGTTACGTGCCCCCGCCGTATCCGGACCCCACCCCACCCTCAATTCCACAAGGAACAGACTGCGCCCTCGCCATCTCGGTGGGATACCCAAATAGCCTCCTACTCTCCCCGCCACAGATTCACCTGTCCACTGATGTGTGGGGTGCCACCCTCCTTTCTCCCAGGACCGTCTCACCACTTTTCCATTTCTCAGTGTCTGACTCTGTCCCCGAAGTGTGGCACCTCTCTGTCACATGGGCCACCCAGCTTTCCCTACATCAACCCCAGTTTTCTTCCTAGCCTCACTGAGCAGCCTCCCCCACCTCCCCCAACCCCATACGCCATCCCCACCCACCCACCCCTTTGTCAATCCCTCCTCTTTCCTAGAAAGCACCCTCTTCTTGCCCTCCCACCTTCCTCTGTCCCATTTCCTATGCCCCCACGTATCACTCCCAAGAGGGGCCCTCTCTCTCCTAGTGGTCTGACCTCTGCCCCCTTCCTCAGACCCAGCCCTCCAGCCCCAGGAATGACCCACCCCCCTTGCCATTCCCCAAAGTGACTCACTCCCTCTTCTCTCCTGTAATGCACGCCCCTCCCACACCCTCTCAGCCCACCTGCTGCTTACCACCCCCATGGCTAGCTGCCACCCTAGGACTTTCACCACCTCGCTTCTGAAGTCTATCTTCTGCCCTTTTTCCTGTTCTAGGAATTTGACCCCCAGCAGGAGCGAGACTTTTATAGGACTCTCTCCTTGTTGAAGAAGAAGGATCCCCGCATTTATCAAAAGGATGCCACCTTCTACCAGCAAACAGGTTCTCATCCCCTTATAGATGGATGTGACTGTTTAATGAGTCATTTCAAGTCAGAAGTGCTTAGCAGAATGTCTTAGAGTAGTGTCTGTAGTTAATGACAACAGTGGCTGACATTCATACAGCATTTACTATGCATTAAGTGTCGCTCGAAGTATAAATTAGCTGTTGAATGATCACAAGGAAGCCATGAGGGACTAGCAGTTGGGATAGCAGTTTTACCCCAAGGAATTGGTGGCTTTGTTGGGCCACTGTTTGGCCCTTGCCCTGGGGGATCCTCTACTGGAAAGCAATGGGGTGTGGAGTGTGATCGCAAGTATGTTGGGGGGCCCACAGCACCATCCTCGGAGAGTGAAGAGGAGTCAGCAGTTGCAGAGAAGCGGAAGAAGGTGCAGCCCATGTACCTGAAGGACTACGAGAGGAAAGTTATCTTGGAGAAAGAAGGGTGAGAAGCAGGCTTGACATGCCTACTTTCCTGGGGCAGATGGACACACAGGGGTCTTAGGGGCAGCCCCCCAAATTCAGGAAGCACCTAAGAGTAAGACCCTCAGTGATGCATCCACACTCGTGTTGGTCCCCCAGCTGCTGTAACAACTCCCCACTCCCCGGGGACAGGTGGGCCATGGAGAGTGTATTCTGAAGCCCCCACCCCTCTCTGCACAGCAAATATGTCGATGAGGAGAACTCAGACGGAGAAGCTTCTGATCAGAGGCATCAGGTAGAGAAGGTAGAGCCTGGGCAGGGAGATGTGGGGCCCAGGGCCAGGCCTGAAGCTTACATCACTCTCATCTGCAGCAAACTCTGTCCCAGAGTTACGTGGAGGAACAGAAACAGCTCAAGGAAAGGTGAGCCTCGGCCGGGTGAGGCGGCCAAGTGGGTAAGAATTGAGAAGGCTCTGGACTTGGATGGGTCTGGGTTCAAATCCCCCTCTGACACTTATCGACTGTGTGACCTTGTGTTCTCTGTGTCTTAGTTTCCTACTCTATTAAGTGGGGTTAATACTTTCTGTGTCGCAGCAGCGCCTTGAGTCTGTCAGGAGGTTAGATCAGGGCCTAATAAACCGACTTCACCCGCGGGCAGTGGCTGGCGTCTAGCCTGCCTACCCTGAGCCTTGTGGTCTTTCTTGGACAGCTTCCGGACATTCGTGGAGGACAGTGAGGATGAGGATAGCGCCAGGGATGGTGGCTCTGGCTTGTTGCAGAAACGTGCTAGAACCGGGGAGGAGAAGGTGGGTGCTGAGAGTGGGCTGGGCCTAGGCGGGACTGGGGTTTGTGCAGACCCTCAGCCCTGGCCTTCCCCCAGGCCCAGGAGGAGGCCGACTACCTTGAGTGGCTGAAGGGCCAAAAGGAGATTGAGAACCCCGAGACCCTGAAAGAACTGGTGAGTTGTCACACCCAGTCCTGAGGGACTGAAGGGCTTGCTCTACTGCCATTCCATCCTCCGTGAGCCGCCAGCTGGAAACCAGCCCTGAGGCAGTAGCCAAGAGCACATATTCTGAGGCTCAGATTCTAGAGTCAGCCCTAGTTGGGTCAGCCCATCTGAGTCTCAGTTTCTACACCTATAAAATGGGAGACATCCCATCTACTTCATAGGCTGGCTGTGATGCTTGGGTTACCTGAACCCTCGTGGTGCCCTTGTTTGCCACCCCCCCCCACTGGTAGGGACAACACAGCCCCACGTCCTAACCTGTGTCCTGCATCCTGCACCCCTAGACCCACCTCAAGGACTACTGGAACAACCCTGAGCTGGAGGAAGGGGAGCGATTCCTGCGGGATTACATCCTCAACAAATGCTATGAGGAGGAGGGAGAGGAGGATGAAGAGGACGACGAAGAGGAAGAGGAAGGGTGAGCCCCCATTGCCTCACCAAGGCCTGAGGGCCCAAAGAGGGTTTTACATATAGTTATGTGACTAAAAAACAGTTCAAAAGGGTGGGCAGCCTAAGTCCATCTCCCTCTTAGTCTGACCATAGCTCCTCCCCAAGGGTGCCGTAGGGTCCTGGATCTCCAGTCCCAAGATACTCCCAGCAGGTGCAGGGCAGGAGGCAAGAGGAGCGTGAGTTCATCGTCCCACACAGATGGGAGCAGGGGAGACCCGAGGGAGAACCTTGGAGCATGGCTCCTAGGGCCGGGTGGGATTAGTGCAAATCCTGGCCCTGCTGTAGACACCCATGCCTCAGTTTCTCCATCTGTAAACAAGGATAATAGTACCCCACTGTTCTTAAGGAGACAAACTTGTCTGTCAGTTTGTCATACTGTGGTGGCTTGCGTGTTGCTGTGAGGCTTCAGGCTGTGCCACCAGTGTTTCAAAAACAAGCAGGGTTGCACATGGTGCACAGGTTTCAACGCAGCTTACAGACTGAGACAGACTAGGAAGAAGGAAGAGGCCTTCTCAAAGAATTGGCCAGGGAAAACCTTACAAATAGCAGGAAAACACTGTCTGTTACTGCACAACTTTATGAATAGCCTGGAAACACTGTCTGATACAGTGCATGGGGATGAGCCCCTTAGTTTGGAAGGCTCTCAAAATATGAGGCAAGGATCGCGGCACTGGCGTGGGACTGGGCAGTGTTTCATTCTGCTGTGCATAGGGTTGCTATGAGTCAGAGATGACTCGACGGCACCTAACAACAACTGTTCTTAAGGTTCTTGCAAGGATAAATGAGTTAATCTCTGTAAAGCACTTAAAATATCATCTGATATACACATGAGGGGAGCTCTGGTAGCACAGTGCCTAAGTCACTTGACTGCTGACCAGTGGTGGTTCAAACCCACCAGCCACTCCTCGGAAAGAAGGTTGGGCAATCTACTTCCGTAGTGATACCACATCGGAAACCCAAGGAGGGGTCGCCATGAGTCGGGGCCGACTCGAGGGCACATAACGACATGAGTGGGAGACCCACCCCACCTCGTTAAGCTGACCCCCAGGTCCTGCCCTCATCCCTCAGGCCTGCTGGCCCGCTGGTACAGCTGGCTGTGGATGACTCTTCGGACGAGGGTGAGCTGTTTCTGAAGAAGCAGGAGGACTTTGAGCACAAGTACAACTTCCGCTTCGAGGAGCCAGACTCAGCTGCGGTGTGTGGCCGGGGCTGGGCTGGGGGAGGACCTGGTGCGTGGGGGTGCAGGCCTCAGAACCTGGGGCTCATCTCTGGCTGTTCTGGCCTCTCTGCCACCCCCAGGTCAAGAGCTACCCACGTAGCATCGTGTCCTCTGTGCGCCGTAAGGATGAGCGCAGGAAGGAGAAAAGGGAAGAGACGCGGGAGCGAAAGAGGAGGGTGAGTGTGGGGGCGCTGGGCTGGTGTGCACTGGCTGGCCGGCTGGGAAAGCCCACATCCTCCCTGTGTCCCCCACCTGCTACCTGCAGGAGAAAGCCAAGAAACGGGAGGAGCTCAAACAGCTGAAGAACCTGAAGAGGAAGGAGATAGTGGCCAAGCTGGAGAAGTTGCGGCAGGTCACAGGCAACAAGACGCTGGGCCTGGAGGAGCAGGACCTGGAGGATGACTTTGACCCCACCCGGCATGACCAGCTCATGCAGGTGCGGCCCCTGCACCCCAGCCCAGCTGCACAGCCAGTTCTCAGGAATGGCTCGGGGATCGGTGTTTTCCTGTGTGACTTCAGAGAAATGACTTGATCTCTCTGAGCTAGTTTGTCTGTAAAGTGAGTCTAAGTGTGGCGTGTACCTCGGGGCAGTGGTAAAACTAGATTGGGATAAGTAAGTGGTAAGTGCTGGAGAAGCAGTGGGTTGGTATGTCCCCTTTAAACATTTTTTCACCTGTTAACATTAAATTGTTGTAGTTGAGGGAACACAGTCATCAGGCCACGAAAGCACAGGGTGATGAGGGCTCTGATGGAGAAGCAGTGGGGGCAGTAGGAGCCCAAAAGAGATGCTCGACCCAGCCTGGGGGGTCAGAGGAGGAAACCGAAGGTGAGAACAGGGATTGGGGAATGTAGTTGAGCACTCAGCCTTCGCTTTCTAGGAGCTCCTTGCCCTGAGCTTCAGTTTCTTAGCAGAATAGTTCCTTCCTCTTGTGGTGGCGGTAAAAATGCAGGGAGATGCAGCCTAGCTGGGCTTATAGTAGGGGCTGGGGGTCCAGCAGGGGCCCAGGCACAGTCTGAAGAATGGCAAGTACTAGTCTTAACATTCACTGAGCTTTACTCTCTGCCAGGCAGCGTGTAGCACAGTGGTCCCTGCCTTCCGGTACTCACAGTGACAGGCACGTTACTATAGTTACTACCAGAGGCATCTGTGTGGTGGTGATGGGGAACATACAGGCTGTGACCAGGCTTTGTCAGGGGTGATGGAGTGGGATTAGGGGAGACTGGGAGGAAAGGACGGGCAGCTCCAATAAGAGCAGAGGCCTGAGAAGCAGTTAGCCAGACGGGGGGATGTGTACACCAGGCGGGGGTACTGCATGGGCAGAGGCCTGATGGGAGGAAAGGAACTGTGGGTCTGTGGAACCAAATGGTAATTAGCATAGCAGAGGGTATAGAGAGCAGGTGGGTAGGTGTGGTAAGATGAGTCCAAGAAGGGGTGGTGACACACAGGACACCCCCCCATATCAGGAGCTAAGTCAGGAGGGTGCCAGGGAGCCACAGAAGGTGCAGGAGTGAAGCAGTCTGAGAGGAACTGTCGGGGGTGGGGCTGGGTCCAAGGCTTTGCTGAGTTCCTCTGCCCTGAGCGTGGCCTGCCAACCTACCTGTCCCCCTAACCGTACAGAAGTGCTTTGGTGATGAGTACTACGGCACCATGGAGGAAGAGAAGCCACAGTTTGAGGAAGAGGAAGGGCTTGAAGGTAAGGGCAGCAGGGCACTGGGAGGTGATGGGCGCTGGGCCTGGAGCCTGAGGTCTCATCCTAACCGATAACTGCCCTCTCTTGGGGTCAGACGACTGGAACTGGGACTCATGGGATGGCCCGGAGCAGGACGGTGATTGGAGCCAGCAAGAGCTACACTGTGAGGACCCTGACTTCAATGTGGGTGCCATGGGCCTGGGAAGGTGTGTGTGGGGTCCTCAAGGTCCCAGGGGGCTCCTGAGAGACGGAGCTAACCTGTGCATCCCAACAGATGGACGCTGACTATGACCCTAGCCAGCCGCACAAGAAGCAGCGTGCGGCCCCCTCGGTGGGCAGGAAGCAGCGCAAGTCCCCCTTCGCCACGGCTGTGGGGCAGGAAAAGCCGGCGTTTGACCCCAGTGAGGCCTGGCTGGGTGGGCACTGGCAGGCGGGGCTCCCCAGGGCCTGGCAGCCCCCCCAGCAGCCTCTTTTTCCCCCGGGCAGGGGACAAGACATTTGAGGAGTATCTGGACGAGTATTACCGGCTGGACTACGAGGACATTGTTGATGACCTGCCCTGTCGCTTCAAGTACCGCACTGTGGTGCCCTGCGACTTTGGGCTCAGCACTGAGGAGGTCAGGGCTCTGGGAAGGCGAGGGAACCCTGAGAACACTCAGCATGCAAAAGGGAGGCTGTCTCCATGACCTGGAGATGCTATGACACAGCCTGTTCCCTCGTTTCAAAGACGGTAGTAACGATAGTACTATTAACAGTACTAACATGACCTGCCTCAAAGGGCTCCTATGCAGCCAGGGCTTCGTACCCCATAACTATTACATTATTGTAGATCAGTGTCAGGGTAGTGGTTAAGCCTTGGTGGGCTCTGAAGCCAGATGGCCCAGGTTCAAATCCTGACTCAGCTGCTCACCAGCTGCATGGCCTAGGACAAGGAATTTAACCCTGTGCCTCAGTTTCCCCATCTGTAAAACAGGCATAATAATGGCCCCCACCTCATGGGTATGTGGGAGCTCTGGTAGTGTAGTGCTGCCTAAGACATTTGACTGCTAACCAGAAGGCTGGTGGTTCAAACCCACTAGCCGCTTCTCGGAAGGAATGTTGGGTGATCTACTTCCGTAGAGATAGCGCCTCAGAAACCCAAGGAGGGGTCGCTATGAGTCAGATCCGACTCCATGGCAGTGAGTTTCATTTTTTTTTTTTTTCATGGGTGTGTGGCCCTCTGAAGGGTGCCCACTGTACTGCAGTGATAGTGGCTGAGAGCATACGGCTGTCAGTGGTCAGTAAAGCAGCTCATGTTTATTGCACTTTGACCATCTGCGTGCACTCAGTCCTCCCAATGACCTTCCAGTAGGTTCTCAGGGGGATGCTCACTCATAAACGAGGAGGTGGGCCTGGAAGTAGGAAGCTGCTAGCGTGGGCTGGTGGCAGTGCTGGGGTTGAGAAGCTGGGCCTTGTCTCCAGTCAGCACACTAGTCACGGGCATGGAGCCCTGCCCTGTTCTGAGGCTGTGTGGACAGTGGTAGGTGGGTGAGAGTTCTAAAGCCCCCAGGGCTGAACTGGAATATGAAGTTGGCCACTTCCTGGCCGGGTGATCTGGAATAAAGGTCCCTTCCCAGCCTCAGTTTCCCTATTTGATAGCCCTCCAAAAAAAATAAAGGAGCAGCTGTCCCAGAAGTCAGTTCTCCCCATTATTACGTTGGACCCACCAGCTGGCACCAGCGTTCCCATTTCCACCAATGAGGCACCTGTGGCCGAGAGGCGGTCCCCACACTCATGCAGAGGACTCCTATCTTCCCTTCCTGTGCAGATCCTGGCTGCTGACGACAAGGAGCTGAACAGGTGGTGCTCGTTGAAGAAGACCTGCATGTACAGGTGACTGGAGTGGCTGGGGCCCAGAGGGGCTGGTGGGTGCAGGCCTGCCCAGAACATCCATATAGGCATGTCCACTGGGTGCCCTCAGGTCGGAGCAGGAAGAGCTGCAGGACAAGCGAGCATACAGCCAGAAAGCCCAGAACTTGTGGAAAAAGAGGCAGATCTTCAAATCTCTCTGCTCAGAAGAGTAAGTGTCACTGGCAGGGGGAGGTGGGCTTGGAAGCCCCCCGAGGCTTATTCTGAGACTTGTGTTCAACTCCTGGTGGGGCTATAGCTTTGTGATTTAGGCAAGTTGCAACCCTTCTCTGTGCCTCAATTCCTCATCTGTAGAATGGAGATGAAGATAGTTCCTATCTTATTTGGTGGTTTGAAGATTAAATGAGTTAAATTGTGTAAAGTTATACAAATTGAAATACAGGAAAGACCTTGTAGGTGTTAGCTATTCTGTCATTGTTACGGTAATTGTTTCCTGTTCTATAGAAGCTCCAGTTAATCTGAAACCAAAATGGCTTCATTTGTGGAGTAGCTTAGTGGAGGCACAGGCCCAAATACAAGTTATCAGCATTGCAGCGCCACCGCTGGCTTTAGTGCAAGACCCGAGTTTGAATTCCAGGAAGGCTTCTCTATCGCTGTGTTGCCGCCTCTCTCAGCCTCACTTTTCCTCACCTGTACAATGGGGGATGTGCTTGGTCTCACTGTGATCAGCCTGGGCTGAGCCCTGACTCCTCTCTCCCAGGATGGAAATGCCCACGGAAGCCACAAGGAAGCCACAGAGAGACAAAACCAGTCCACAGGGCCAGCTGCCAGTGCCTGATGGGGCCCGTGGGAAACGGCCCCAACCCCAGAGCCCCCCAGCACAGGAAGAGGTGGCCCCTGAGAAGCCAGCCCCTCAGAGGCGGAGGCGGGGCAAGAAGGCACGTCTCCTGGGTCCCACGGTGACACTTGGAGGGCGTGAGTTCAGCCGCCAGAGACTGCGGGCCTTTGGCCTCAACCCCAAACGCCTGCACTTCCGTCAACTGGGCCGACAACGGAGGAAGCAGCGAGAGCCCAAGAGTGGTCCCTGAGCTTGCCCCAGGGCAGGTGGGCAGGGCCCTAGGGGGCTTCTCCTCAAATCAAGCCCCCCGTACTTCCTCCTGCTGACAGGGACTTTGGGTACTTTTGAGTCTGCTGTACAGAACCCTCACTGCTGTCAGTGGGTGAGGGACTCTTTCCATCTGACTTAACGAGTGTCCCCACCTTGAGATGCACCCTAGACTTGATCCATCAATCACTGAGCCCAGCCACAGCCCATGTTCAAGTCAAATAGCTTTATTAGCCTCTAGCAGCCACAGTCCCCCCCCAACCCCCAGATCTTGGCAGGACAGGGGCTTCAGGACTGGTGAGGGGTACAGACAGTCCAGTGCAAACTACAGTACTTGAGTCAGGCCCTGAGTGGGTGTCCGGGAGCCTCCTTCCTTCCCTGTGAGGAGGGACTGGCCGGTGAGGGCAGGCTTCTGGGCTCTGTCCCTTGGTTGCACAGCCCCAGCCTGGCTGTTTCCTGGACTAGTCTCAGCTTGTCAAGGGACTGAGAGATGTCCCATCACCACCAGAGTTCAAGCTCCCACACCCAGTGTGACATAAATAAAAAAATAAAGTGTCGCATCTTCTCCCCCTTTCCCTCCCCTTATAAAAACACAAAGTCCTCAGAGCTAGGGCGTTTGGCCTTGAGGAGGCGCCCTGAGCGAGGGAGCCTCAGCGTTGGCTGCGAGAGCTGAGAGCAGAGGTCATCCAGGCTGTGGTCCTGAGCGTGGCCCTCAGCCAGGGTGAACATGGGGTATCTCTCTGTGGCCGAGGAGGAGCTTAAGACCTGATGGGAGGGAGAAAGCAGTGGCTCAGCCTCAAACATGGTAGCCACCTGTAACAATGCTAACACAACTCTGTAAAGCACTTGGGTGGACTTGGCAGTCACCCCAGTCTTCCCTTGGCCCCATCCCTCTAAAGCAGTGACCCAGGCCAGCCAGTCAACACATTCCATCCCTTGGCCAATGGTGAATATGTGACCCAAGTCAGCCAATGAATGGCAACCCTGGGATTTTTGGTGCAGCTATTAGACAACAAAATTCTTTCCACCGAACTAGAATAGCTGGCCAAGAGGGTTGGCAGTCATCTCTGCCACAAGGATGAAGCCCAGATAGGACAGCAGAGCCAAAAGGGAGTGAGGGGTCCCACTACTTGAACCCCTGCATGAAGATGTACCTCAAGACAACAATGCCCCCCTCTTTTGCTCTAATTAGAGCTGGGATTTTGGGGACTTGCAGGCTAAACAGTCTCGATAGGACCAGTCTGTCTTGGCCGCCTCCTGGGCTTTAGAGGTGGGTATTGGATCACTTTCCAGAGCAGCACAGGGCTTCAGAGCCCCAGGTCCCACCTGGAAGCAATATCCCAGGTCTGCAGGATTCTGGACTTCTGTTCTCCCTCCCCCAGTCTGACCCTTTGACCCTAATCTCCACCTTCCTTGCTTACCCTGTTCAGCTCTGAGCACAGTGTCTCAAACTCCTTCCTGTTTCCAGCATAAAACCCCACAGTACAGCTTGGGTCCATCTTGGCAAAGGCCATCTTGCGTGGTGAGGTGCAATGAAAGGACTAGGGCAGACAAACAAGGGGGGCTCAGGGCACCTCAGCTCTCCCCATG